CCAGGAAGATCCGGGTGTAATTGAGTGCAACATTGGAAAGATGGCAAAAAATTAGTCAAGTTCAAAAAAAAGTTCACTCAATTTGGAGTTCGGATGAAGGAGAACGAGCGAAAACAAAGATCGACGTCACAATATTGGGACGAGCACCGCACGAGCATTCCATGAACATCTTGACAAGCCCTATGACATGCTAGGGGAAAAAAAGTTTCAACTAGAACTGAGAGCCGAAATGAGGTCTAAAATGATTTTTTATGGAAAAACACAAAGAAGAAACCCCCCCTGAAATTGAGTTTTCTACCTGACCAAGTGAAAGAAAATGAAAAAAACTCACTGCGAAATCCACAAAATGCCCCTAGATCAGAAGAGGTCAAGAGGGCAAAAAACTACTATAGTAACTGTCCACATCTGAGAGCAAAAATAGGCTATCAAATGAATTTTTCTAGAAAAACATGAAGAAGAAACCCCTTCCAAAATCAAATTTTCTAGCTGGCATTGCAAGAGAAAATGAAAAAAAAAACACACTATAAAATTGCCAAAATGCCCCTAAATCAGTAGAGGCTTAAAAACTCAAAAAGTGTAACTTTGCACCGAGTATGAATTTCACCCTAAATGCATTTCTAGATTGAAATGAATGTGCATGCAAGTGTAATAAATGATTCTAAGCACGCGGGAATGGTCTGCGGCTCCCGAGAAACCCTGACTCAAAACCCGACCCCCCCAAGGCCAAAACGATAAAAATGAAGTTGGAATCGGAATTTTGAAAACTAAAAATATAAAATAGAGTCAAATTATCGTTTGGCCCTTGGTCACACTTCATACATGATTAATGAGACCTATGAAAGAATAAAAACAAAATTCCCACACCTGATGCAAAAGTAATGACGCAATGACTTATGAATTTTCAAGGCTTTCATAACATTTCATGAAATTAAAAATTACATAAGATGCAATATAAAAGTCATTGGCCTTTGGCCTCATCTCACACAAGTCAAATACATCATAAAAGGTGTACTTATGTATACATTACAAATATGGAATCAAAGATACAAGTTTAGACATATAAGTCTACAAAATGACATTTGATGCTAACATTTGCGTGAAATAGAAACTTAAAAACTACAAGTCATCCAAGGAATGATGAGCATCATGAACCAAGTCTTCGTACCTGAAAATACCCTGGTAACTTTAAGGTGAGTAACATAAAGCTACTCGAAGGAGATGAGCATGCATAGACCTAGCATTTTACAAATTTATTACCTTAAGGTGAAACATGCTAAAGGGGCTCATGCCACCTAATATCTATGTCAAAATGAGACTCAGGGAGCATCCTAAGCTACCTTAGAGTATTTCTAGCATAAGCTACATCACTCATGCAATTTAAATAACATAGGAGCACATAGTGTAACGCAACAAGACATAGGTATCCAAAGTTATCAACTTTTAACCTAGAATGGGATAAGTACTGAAACGGTTCATGCCACCTAGATTCTAAGTTAAGATGCTTATGTAGGATCACTCCTAAGTCATATCAACATGAACCAACATGAATCACTATATCTATGAAATTGAATAAGGTTGGGACATTCCACACAACACGACAAGATTTAAATCTTTAAGAAATACTACATGAAATTTAAAGAGTGAAATCAAGGGTAAAGCATGATGTCTATGTAATTTAAACAAGGTTGGATCATCCTATATAACACGAAAAGTTTTAAATCTTCAAGGAATACAACACTTGAAATTTAAAGAGTGAAATCAAGGCAAAGTATAAAGTCTATGCAATTAAACAAGGTTGGAATATTCCATAAAACACGAAAAGGTTCTTAAATCTTCAAGGAATAACACTTGAAATTTAAGGAGTGAAATTGAAGATAAAGCATAATATCTATGCAATTAAACAAGATTGGAACATTCCACATACAACAACAAGTTTTAAAACCAATGTGTATACTTGGATATCGCCTGGATTAAAACCATACTATTGGGATCACTTTAAGGCTACTAACTCATGGGTACCTTCCGCTAGTGCGCATTATAATGTAAAGAGCTCTCTATCTCCCATACTAGAACTAAGTCCTAGCCATGTTAATTCTTGATTGATATCCCAAGTTCCAAAATAAACAAGTTGTGTAACCAAGAATGTATCAAGATGCAAGTAATGCATTAAACCACATTCCATGCACAACCAAGATTTTGGAACACATAAGTCATGCCTTAAGTCCTCAACTATGATGGTATGTGAAATGTCAAGAAATCGTAGTATGCATCTACATAGACTACAAACTAGGATTTAAAACACAAGGAATCCATTGATATAAATATACCACAAGTATAAGATTAATGATTTAATTATTTACTAAGCAATACATGGATAATTAAATCATTCCAAGACAATTGTGCAAGTTCATTATGTACATTCATGAAACCAAGATACAAGGAGTCTAGATATATGATAAAAAGTTAAAAGTCCCATGAAATATAAGTTACAACCATGTGAATTAAGTTCCATACAAGGAAAGTAATTAAATATAAGTTTCAAAACTTATCCGATTATTCTCAATTTGATGCACATGAAGAAACTTGTCAAGGAAATCATGAATATCAAGTTAGAAACTTTATCAAGCTCATGGAACCATTGAATAGGTTTTAATTAATTCTTTTAATTAAAACCTCTAGATTTTAAAACTCATCCAAATATTCTCAAATTAAAGTACGTAAGAAAACATGCCAAGACTTGATTTAATAGCCTAATACAAGTGATTTCCATGCAAGCTACAACCATGATAATTAAACCTTCATACAAGAAAAATAATAAATAAAAGGTTTCAAAACCTAATAAAAAATTACCCGATTTAATATATGTGAAAGTATATGGCATGCACATCAACAATATCAAGTTGGAATTCCAATGAAGTGAATAGTGCACTTGAAAAAAAAATAATTAATTATCTCTAGATTTTAAAACATCTCTAATTACTCTCAAATTCATATATGTTGAAGAGTATGTTAGGGCCTAATATAATATGATAACACATATTGATTTCAAGCTAGATAAGGCCACATGAATTAAATTTTCATTCAAGAAAAATACTAAATAAAAACTTCAATACTTGTCCAAATGCTCTTAATTTAATATATGTCAATGAACATATCAAGGGGTAATTTAATGTCATGCCACATGTTTAAACCATGCTATAACTAACCGGGAAAATCAAATCTCACACAAGAAAAATAAATAATAAATTCTCTAGATTTAATACAAAGACATGTAAATGAGTTGTATAAGCATCAATAACATGAAATACATCAAGAATATAAACTATAACATCTCCTACCTTAATTTGAGATGAAATCTTAAATCCCCACCAAAAGAAAAATGCTCCGAATCCGACGATACTCCTAGGTTATGTTGGGGACAACGAGGGAAACAACTTTAACCTTTGAGGTACCATGAAAATCCTAACCCAAACTCAAAAATGGCTAGAAATGGATTCTAATAAGGGGGAAAGGTGCGCATCGTCAAGGCCTACGATAAACATTAAGGCGAAAGACTTTTTACAAAGGAAATCAAGTGGAGAAGAAGAAAGAGTGGTGGCAGCCCCTTGGGCAGCCATGGTTGCCGACCAAGAGGAGGAAGAAGGGCTTAAAAGTTGTCTTTAAAAATTAGGGCAACCTATTTATAGAAATTCCAAAAAGTGCCCCGGAAGGGCCCCGCCGGGTCTGAAAAAGTGGAATTTGAGCAGACGCGCTCAAATGGCAAAACCCCATGAATGAAAAAGAACTAAAATGAGAAAATATGAACTACAAAAGAAATGGTGTCAAAAACTGAGACCCGAACAGAGGGATATGCCCCGAACAAGTTCAGCAACAACTAGGGTCAGAAACCCTTAAACTGGGGAAAAACGACCAGAAGGAAATTCTAAGAGTTCATGACTCGATGAAATGTGAAAATGAATCCCGTACGAGGATCCAGGCTCAAAATAAGGTATTTTTGCAATAACTTTCGTTAATTGCACAATGGCCCCTCCAAAAAGGGTTAACTGCACAACTGCCCAGAATGAAAATATCTTCAAAAAATATTTTTTTAAAAAACCCTGAAATAAAATATCTTCAGAAGATATTTATGAAAAACACTCCAAGAAAAGGAAATGTTTGTGAAGAACTATGCATCCATGTCCCTATGGACACCGGGAGCAACCAGAGTACTTTTTTTACAAAAGTAAAGATACGTATTTCATAGAAACCACTTAGAATGAAGATACATGAAGTTGAAAACCAACTCTGAGCATGAAAAGTGAGGTTATGCTAACAAAGTGACAAACGGGGAAAGACAAAATAGGGAAAAGGACGAAAAGTGAATAGTGTCAAAGAAATGCAAATGTGGAAATGACTCGGTTCTTAAAGGAAGTTGTCAATCCAAATAAAAGAGTCTCAGAAACCATTTCTGAGCACTCGAGATGATACTATGTGATGAGAAAACAAACTCAGAAAATAAAATTTAACAGAAAAAATTTATTTGTAAAATTTGAGAAAAAGGAAAGGAAGGAAAATGACTGGGTCATTACAATGTTAGAATAAATTTTTCATTATATTTTGGTAAGTTTCCATTAAGAGTTATGATTGTTCATTATAAATAACTTAACATGGTTGTAATGTTTCTCAAAATAAGCTCAAAAAAATTTGCAAGTCCTTGTTTGATTTGGAAAAAGTTAAATGAATAATTGAATATAATTGCAATTTTTATGAAAATAGAAGGCCCAAAAAGGTTGGAAGTGCATGTTTGAATTAGAAAGAGTTAAATAAATCATTAATTTTGTTATTTGTAGCAAAATTAAAATATGTGCAGTTGAGGAAGTTGGATCCCTGATACATTATACTATCTTGAATAATGTTAATAGGTCAGAAAATTTTTCCAATTAATAATCTATACCTGCAAGATAGCCCTTTGTTCAATTTTTATTTATTTATGTTGTAGGTTTCTTATTTGAATTATTGGAATGGAAGAGGTATTAAATAACATTGAAGATACCTCATATACAGAAAATGCTCCTATTGCAAGGGCCGATGTCGTAGAATGGAAACCAGGAACAGGTATGAAGTTTGAAACTGAGGAAGTGGCATATGATTTCTATAATTTATATGCCGGTCGAGTCGATTTTAGCATCCATAAAGAGTATTTTAATAAGAGCAAGAAGATTGGTAAACTATCATCGAGAATGTTAACATGCTGCAAGGAGGGTTTCAGGGTTGACGACATATGGTACAGTAATACAAAGACTTCCAAGGCTGAAACATGAACTTCTTGCCTTGCTCAAATGCTTATACAAGTTTCCAAGTATACCCATAAGTTGGAAGTTACAAAATTTGTTGAAAGCCACAACCATCCATTGATGATTGATGAAGGCATGCACATGCTGTCGTCCCAGCGCAGAATTACCCGCGTTCAGGCCAATGATTTGGAATTGGCTTCTGATTCAGGAATAACCCCTCGCAATTCATATGAGTTATTGGGAAGGCAAGTTGGTGGAAAAGAATCAGTTAGGTACATGAAGTTGGATTTACAACACCATATAATGACCTGAAGACAGAATGAGCTTGAATATAGAGAGGCATCATGGCTAATGAATTATTTTGAGACCCAGTCTTGTGAAGATCCATTTTCTTTTATGCATTCCAATTGGATAATGATCAAATGATCACAAACATATTCTAGGCTGATTCAAAAATGATAGTTGATTATTGCAATTTTGGAGATGTTGTAAGTTTTGACACAACATACAAAGTTATACATGGCAACCATCCATTTAGAAGTTTCTTGGGGTTGAATTATCACTGGGACATCGCTGTGTTTGGAGCAACGTTCATGTATAAGGAGACTGCAGATTCGTTTCTTTGGTTATTTCAAACATTTTTGAAAGCAATGTCTGATAAAGCGTCAAAGACGATCTTCACTGATCAAGATACTGCAATGGGAAAGGTATTGACGCAGGTGATTTCAATTCAGATCTCCACTTTTTGCATTTCCTTTTGCATTGTATAGTTGGCAGTGGTATATGTTATTACGTAGTTATATCACTAAAAATAATTTTGCAACTGATGCCAGGGATAAAACATTATCTGTGTGTTTGGCACCTAATGCAAAATGCATAGAAGCATCTAGGGTTCTTATTTAGACGTGCACAAGGCATTAAGAAGGTGTCATCAAAATTAATGATTTAAATTAAGGAGGAGGAAGAATTTACCAGGGAATAGAATTTAATGATAACGGAATATGGTCTTGTTGGTAACATGTGGCTTACAAATCTGTTAGGTTTAAAACATAGATGGGCCATGACATTTAACAAACATGCCTGGGCTGCGGGTATCCGCTGCACACTACTGAGTGAAAGCTTCAATGTTTGCTTGAAGGCATACTTATCCAGGCAACTGATTCTTCCAGATTTCTTCACACACTTTGAAAGGCTATTATCTGACAAGCGTTACAAGGAGTATGTAGCCGAGTATGGGTTGCTCCACAATCTACCTTAACTGAAACAAACTGCAACATATTAGTAGAAATGGCAAACCTGTACATAAAGGTTATATTTAATATTTTTTGGGACGAGTTCTTAGCAGCTGGTACCAGTCAGAGGATCATTGGTTGTAGTCCCATCGATGACAATAGAGGCAGTGTTTACAAAGTCGTTGGTGAGTATGGGATGCAACGCGACGTGACGATGACATCAGAAGATGAATTGTTTTGTTCTTGTTATAAATTTGAAAGGGAGGGTATTATGTGCAGGTATAGTTTGAAAATCCTAAAGGACTCCATGTTTGCCAATACATTACATTGTCGATATTTATTAAGAAGGTGGACTAGAACTACTAAAGATGGTAACTTGGAGGAATATATTTCCAGTGAAGTGATTGCCGATGCTGATCCGAAAATTGAGGTTAGGAGATAGCACAGGGTACTTTGTCATCTTCTGATTGAATTTTCGTCTATTGCATTGGAGGATAAGGACGGATACAATGATTTCTAATTCAAAGCCATGGAGTGGAAAAAAATTACCCAATCAAGTTATAGGCGTAGGTTTGCTGAGAGGAATGCAATTTATAGTGGTCATAAAGGCAAAAACCAAAATTTGGGGAGCAACATAAATAATGAAAAAATACCAATGGCTTCAAGTGTAAAGATACACGGAAAGGAAAATTTAAGAGGTTAAAACCGACCATGGAGCTAAAGATTTGCAAAAAGATGAAATCAACGAAATAAACAGTTCAGGTTGAGGTACTTTTATCCCCTTACTGTTTGCTAAGTACTTTCCTAAGTAATACCAGTTCTGTGTATTAAATTATGTGTGTATAAAAATTCTAATAATTATGTTGTAGAATTGCAATGAAGCCCTTCAATCCGTAGAGGCAGGTGGCAGTAGTCATAGTGGAACAATCCCCTACCATGTGTTAGTGAATGTGAGTATTGTTGCATAACAATTTTCAGCACATTGCTTAACATGTTCATTATGGTTACAAGGAAATCTGTGGTCAAATGTTGTACAACATTTATTTTGTAGGGCTGTGAAATTCCAGCTGAATTTCTCAATGAAGAAAGCTATGTCACGCCACCACAACATGTAATGCATCACACAAGATTTTGGCAACCGCCTGATGAAATAAGTACTCCATTAACTAACCAGATAAGTGTGCTGTTAAGGTAGAACCAACATATAAATTGCAATATATAAAGTTACATAATTATTTAATTGATATTTTATAATATATAAGGAAAACTATATAATATTGCAGACCTTTGTTGCCGATTCATGCAATTCCAATACCAATTATTCACATGATGATTGCTTCACTGATGGTTTCAGAAGTGATAAGGTATGTAGTTGTCCTCGTCAACACAATTCGTACCAGTATATTTTTTTATTGAATTTTCTCGTGCCTTGTGATTTTATCTAATTTGATTGCATTTGTGCCATGATCATATTGAAAGATAGTAGATTTAAACAATTGTGAATCGAGTGTCAGACCAACGTCCCAAATGCCAATCATGGAGATAGACCAACCAATTGAACGACTCTTTCATTATTAACAATCATTCCATTATGTATTTCACATTGTTTTTATGATGTTATTGATTTAACTTTACTTAATTATTGGCTTTTATAACAATTTTGGGGGGTTAGGCAAATTTGTATAATTTTGTGTATTATAAAAATGCACAAGTGGTTTTGATCATGCATTACGAAATTTAATTGATCTACTTATACAAATATATATGTAAAACCTATCACAATACTTATGTACTTATTTTTATTCAGAATTTATAAGACACATTTCAATAAATTTGTAAGACAATTTGCAAAGCCTAAAGTAATAGAATCTAAATACAACTCTCAAGTGATCCACTTATGCAAATACATATTTAATACCTATCGCAATACTTATGTACATATTTTCCTTCAGAATTTATAGTTAACATCCTAATAAATTTGTAAGACAATTTGCAAAGCCCAAAGGAATAAAATCCAAATAAAACTCTCAAGTGATCTACTTATGCAAATACATATGTAAAACCTATCGTAATAATTATGTACATATTTTCATTCATAATTTATAAGAAACATCCTAATAAATTTGTAAGACAATTTTCCAAAGCCTAAAGTAATAGAATGCAAATGCAACTCTCAAGTGACTAGTTATGCAAATACATATGTAAACTTATGCTAATATTTATGTAGATATTTTCGTTCTGAATTTATATCAAATATCCTAATAAATTTGTAAGCCAATTTGCAAAGCCCAAAGTAATAAAATCCTAATACAACTCTCAAGTGATCCACTTATGCAAATATCTATGTTAAAGATATCCTAATACTTATGTACCTATTTTCGTTTATAATTTATTAAAAAAAAAAACCCAATAAATTTGTAGGACAATTTGAAAGGCCCAAAGTAATAGAATCCAATTACAAATCTCAAGTGATCAATTTATGCAAATACATATGTCAAACTTATCATAATACTTATGCAAATATTTTCGTAAATAATTTATTAAAAACATCTCAATAAATTTGTAAGACAATTTGCAAGGCCTTGACTAATAGAATCCAAATACAACTCTCAAATGATCAAGTTATGCAAATACATATATTGAACCTATCCTTATACTTATATATATAATTTCGTCCATAATTTATAAGAAATATCCAAATAAATTTGTAAGACAATTTGCAAGGCCCAAACTAATTGAATCCAAATATAACCTCAAGTGATCAACTTATGCAAAAACATATGTATGACTGATCCTAATACTGATGCCAATACTTTGGTTTATAATTTATAAGAAATATCCAATAAATGTGTAAGACAATTTGTAAGGCCCAAAGTAATAGAATCTAAATACAACTCTCAAGTAATCCACTTATGCAAATACATATGTTGAACCTATCCTAATACTTATGTACATATTTTCATCCATAATTTATATGAAATATCCCAATAAATTTGTAAGACAATTTGCAAGGCCCAAAGTAATAGAATCCAAATGCAACTCTCAAGTGATCAACTTATGCAGATTTATCCTAATACTGATGCACCTATTTTCGTCCATAATTTATAAGAAACATCCCAATAAATTTATAGCATACTGTATGTACGGCCCAAAGTAATAGAATCCAAATACAACTCTCAAGTGATCAACTTATGCAAATACATATGTAGGATTTATCCTAATACTGATGTACATATTTTCGTTCATAATTTATAAGAAACATCCTAATATATTTATAGAATACTGTATGCAAAGCCTTAAGTAATAGAATCCAAATACAACTCTCAAGTGGTCAACTTATGCAAATGCATATGTCAAACTTATCTTAATACTTATGTACATTTTTTCGTGAATAATTTATAGAAAATATCCCAAAAATTTGTAAGACAATTTGCAAGGCTCAAAGTAATAGAATCTAAATACAACTCTCAAGTGATCCACTTATGCAAATACATATGTAGAATCTATCCTAATACTTTTATACCTATTGTCGTCCATAGTTTATAATCAATATCCCAATAAATTTGTAATACAATTTGTAAGGCCAAAGTAATAGAATCCAAATAGAACTCTCAACTGATCAACTTATGCAAATTCATATGTAAGACTTATCATAATTCTGCTGTCCATATTTTCGTTCATTATTTATAAGAAATTCCCAATAAATGTGTAAGACAATTTGTAAGGTCCACCCAAAGTAATAGAATCCAAATACAACTCTCAAGTGATCAACTTATGCAAATATATATGTAGTAAATATCATAATACCTATGTACGATTTTCTTAAATACTTTATAGGAAAGATCTCAATAAATTTGTAAGACAATTTGTAAGGCCCAAAGTAATAGAATCCAAATACTACTCTCAAATGATCAATTTATGTAAATACGTATATAGGAAATATCGTAATACCTATGTACAGATTTTTGAAATAATTTATAAGAAAGATCCCAATAAATTTGTAAGACAATTTGCACAACCCAAAATAATAGTTACCAAATACAACTCTCAAGGGATCCATTTATGCAAACACGTATGTAGAATCTATCCTAATACTTATGTACTTATTATTGTCCATAATTTATAATAAATATCCAAATAAATTTGTAATACAATTTGCGAGGCCCAAAGTAATAGAATCCAAATACAACTCTCAACTAATCAACTTATGCAAATACATATGTAAGACTTATCCTAATACTGATGTCCATATTTTCGTTCATTATTTATAAGAAATATCCCAATAAATGTGTAAGATAATTTGAAAGGCCAAAGTAATAAAATCTAAATACAACTCTCAAGTGATCAATTTATGCAAATATATATGTAGTAAATATCATAATACCTATGTACAGATTTTCATAAATAATTTATAAGAAATATCCCAATAAATTTGTAAAACAATTTGCAAGGCCTAAAGTATAAGAATCCAAATACAACTCTCAAGTGATCCACATATGCAAATACATATGTAGTCCCTATCCTAATACTTATGTACATATTTTTGTTCAGTGTTTATAAAAAAAAATATCCCAATAAATTTGTAAGACAGTTTGCAAGGCCCAAAGTAATAGAATCCAAGTACAATTCTTAACTGATCCACTAATACAAATACATTTATGACATGGCAATAATGTATTGGCTACAAAAGGGTGATGGTGAAGCTTCCTTATTAGCTTCTAAAGGAAGCTTTGAAATTTTTAGGCAACAACAATTATTCTTTGGCAGCAACTGTTATTTGCCTTCCAAAGGAAGCTTTGTAATTTACTTGGACACCAAGTATATTTTTGGCTATAAATAACCTTACAGTCGTTCCATGAAAAACATCCAACCAACAGACAATATTTGGATCAAGAGAGTATATTGGTTTTGTGTGTGTGAGAAAATCCTTTTGTGTGTGCAAACTTCAAGTGCCACTAGAAGCTTGTTTTTGGGGGGGTTTTTCTCTCTTTGTGTAAACCATATACTATTTGGGTATTTCTTGAGA